GGCTTCCTGTGGCTATTTATTTCTACTATAGACGACTTTACTGGGCCATTTTATTGAGTGTTTATATGATAAATTACTGCATAACAGTAAAACATCTAAGTGTTTTTGACATCTGCAGTTCCTCCTGAGAGCGGTGAGTTATTTGTTATTATTCTATGCTTTTTCGATTGCCTTAAAGTCTCCAATTCGTCGCTTTTATCTACTTTAGCTCCAAAGCTTCTTGTGTTTTGGCCCGTTGTGATGTGTAAGTGGGTAGTTTTAGTGTTTATACACTTATATTGGTTCATCCATTTACTAGTTATCTAAAAGATTTGAATGAAAGGTTTTAAACGAATCCTGTAATATTTTATTTACTAAAAAATTGTTGACTTCTGCTATATTCTACTTTAATATTGCAAGCAAAATAGCAGCTTGTTTATATTTCTACATATTTTGATTTCAGGTTATCTTCTTACTCTTACGACATTTGAAAGTTATAATGACTGATTATGAATGTCAAAGTTCATAATTATTGTGTAAAAGGTAAAATACTTTGCTACTCATTTTCATTTTTTTTCAATCGGGAACCGCAATGCTGTCAGCTTAAAAAAAAGCGCAGTCCCAGGTTTTCCTTAATGTTCGCACAAGACTTGTTTTATTGTTTGTGCGCAGGTCATCTTAAGAGATTGTATTTTGTATCAGGTGATAGAATAAGAAATTTTTAATCATTTTCATTAAATTAGTGGAAAATCGTAGACATGGACCATTTTATCTAGATGCAAAGGACACTGTAAAGTTAGACGTTTAAGTTGAGTTATCAGAAATGTCTTCTATTTTAAAAGTCTACACAGTATAAGAAAGCATTTTAAAATTTTGGTGACTTTGCTATTCACTTTGCTGTCTCTGTGCTGTGTTTGAAAAACGTATTTGCTTCACGAAAACTTAGCCGTTTTAGGACCCGTAATGCGACCCACGAGTCAGAAAATGACATTAAATTAACTCAAGTTTCCACTCATCGTAAAGGATCACCCGCTTGAGTAGTCTTCATCCTAATGCATTCTGAAAACACTCAATGTTACATACTATTCTAAGAGGCAGCTAAAGTATAGTAGTGAGCTTGTTGTTTGCATTATTTCAGTACCACCTAGTCCACCTACTTAAGTGAATAGAAGAAAAATAGTCCTGATTATTTTTCTTATATCGTAAAATTTTTACATTACGGCATGCATTTGGACCGCTCATCTACATACGGCCTTAGCCGTTGTCTTAGTGTGTCAGCGATCTGTCTATATGTCTCCTTTTCCACTCTATCAATTCTTACGTCTTTCAAGAGGAAAATATGGTCCAGATCGAGCCCCTGTGAAATGCTTATAAACCATAAGAAGTTTAAAGTCCCCATAAATTGCTAAACCGTGCAGGTTTTGTTAATCGGTGTTATAAGTAAATTGGTATCAGCGACATTATCACTGGGTTGTCAGCTTTGATTTCGAAACGGCATACAGAGGATAATGGGAGTGCAATGATGAGCGGATGAAATGACATTCTCCAAGGTTGATGTTAAATCATAAATGTTTGATGATCTCCTGGATTTTGGCTTCCTGTGGCTATTTATTTCTACTATAGACGACTTTACTGGGCCATTTTATTGAGTGTTTATATGATAAATTACTGCATAACAGTAAAACATCTAAGTGTTTTTGACATCTGCAGTTCCTCCTGAGAGCGGTGAGTTATTTGTTATTATTCTATGCTTTTTCGATTGCCTTAAAGTCTCCAATTCGTCGCTTTTATCTACTTTAGCTCCAAAGCTTCTTGTGTTTTGGCCCGTTGTGATGTGTAAGTGGGTAGTTTTAGTGTTTATACACTTATATTGGTTCATCCATTTACTAGTTATCTAAAAGATTTGAATGAAAGGTTTTAAACGAATCCTGTAATATTTTATTTACTAAAAAATTGTTGACTTCTGCTATATTCTACTTTAATATTGCAAGCAAAATAGCAGCTTGTTTATATTTCTACATATTTTGATTTCAGGTTATCTTCTTACTCTTACGACATTTGAAAGTTATAATGACTGATTATGAATGTCAAAGTTCATAATTATTGTGTAAAAGGTAAAATACTTTGCTACTCATTTTCATTTTTTTTCAATCGGGAACCGCAATGCTGTCAGCTTAAAAAAAAGCGCAGTCCCAGGTTTTCCTTAATGTTCGCACAAGACTTGTTTTATTGTTTGTGCGCAGGTCATCTTAAGAGATTGTATTTTGTATCAGGTGATAGAATAAGAAATTTTTAATCATTTTCATTAAATTAGTGGAAAATCGTAGACATGGACCATTTTATCTAGATGCAAAGGACACTGTAAAGTTAGACGTTTAAGTTGAGTTATCAGAAATGTCTTCTATTTTAAAAGTCTACACAGTATAAGAAAGCATTTTAAAATTTTGGTGACTTTGCTATTCACTTTGCTGTCTCTGTGCTGTGTTTGAAAAACGTATTTGCTTCACGAAAACTTAGCCGTTTTAGGACCCGTAATGCGACCCACGAGTCAGAAAATGACATTAAATTAACTCAAGTTTCCACTCATCGTAAAGGATCACCCGCTTGAGTAGTCTTCATCCTAATGCATTCTGAAAACACTCAATGTTACATACTATTCTAAGAGGCAGCTAAAGTATAGTAGTGAGCTTGTTGTTTGCATTATTTCAGTACCACCTAGTCCACCTACTTAAGTGAATAGAAGAAAAATAGTCCTGATTATTTTTCTTATATCGTAAAATTTTTACATTACGGCATGCATTTGGACCGCTCATCTACATACGGCCTTAGCCGTTGTCTTAGTGTGTCAGCGATCTGTCTATATGTCTCCTTTTCCACTCTATCAATTCTTACGTCTTTCAAGAGGAAAATATGGTCCAGATCGAGCCCCTGTGAAATGCTTATAAACCATAAGAAGTTTAAAGTCCCCATAAATTGCTAAACCGTGCAGGTTTTGTTAATCGGTGTTATAAGTAAATTGGTATCAGCGACATTATCACTGGGTTGTCAGCTTTGATTTCGAAACGGCATACAGAGGATAATGGGAGTGCAATGATGAGCGGATGAAATGACATTCTCCAAGGTTGATGTTAAATCATAAATGTTTGATGATCTCCTGGATTTTTTGACATTTGCTGCAAGAGCATTGATTTTCGTATAGACCCATATTATCTAAATAGGATAAAGTAATATAACTATGCTTGAGATGTAGGAAACATGAATCCCGTTGTAAAACGAACGTTATAAAATGAACT